ATATATATATATATATGTATATGTATATATATATACATATATGTATATATATATACATATATGTATATATATATATACATATATGTATATATATATATATATATATAGATGCATATATCGTACAAATACACACTTTACAAATCACGTCGTTGGGGTATTTTTAATATAAGTACATACTTTATGCGGATCAATTGATCAAAAATAACGTAAAAGTTGGTCGTTGCTGTTAAATATAAATTCCTCAAATTCCTCTCCCTTTTTCTCTCTCTCTCTTTCTCTCTCTCTCTCTCTCTCTCTCTATATATATATATATATAATTTTTATATTATTACATCATATTAAATACATTCAACATTAAAGATTTTATTTTTTTAAATTATTTATTCTCAAAAAATAAAACCATAAGAGGCGATTGGTCTAACGTTAATTTATCATTATCACAGATATGGAATTTGTACGAGAGGTTTTTTTTTCATATTATATTTGTATTGTCAATGCTGTTAAAAATATAAGTTGATTAATCAAAGTATGTGCATGTATGTATGTATGTGTGTGTGTGTGTGTGTGTGTGTATGTATGTATGTGTGTATGTATGTATGTATGTGTGTATGTATGCATGTGTGTTTGTGTGTGTAGCTGCGTGAACGTGCGAGTATGTTTGCATTTAACAAATTGGTATGCGTGTAAATGTACCAATATATGTACCTGTATCAAGTATGTGTTTATATGTGTTTATGAATCTGTATCAAGATATACGTGCTAATGTATCTGTATCTTATTTATAAAAAAACCAGACAACTATTCAAAAGAATATAATGAGACGTTGGTATAATTCATAGTTGGAATGAGATGGAGTGTATTAAATGATTGGAAGGGCTTCTAATGCTATGGCATTGGTAGAAGGATAATTTGTTCATTCTTGTTACGTTTCTCTTTACCTCACAGGTAAAAACAACAACAGTAGCACATACACACATTGCATGTAGTTACACAAGAATCAACGTTTGAAAGGCAAGGATCGTTTCGCATTCGAAGACAGTCACTGCAGCATCAGAGCCAGGCATGTTGACCATTACACCAATGCAAAGTCAGATGTTAACTGATTATTTAATCATGAGAGAATTGATAAGTTGAAACAAATCTCAAAAGCTTCAATTTCTGTGCAAAGCTCTTGTAAAATATGGATTTTTTAAGGTCGTATTCCTTAATGAGTATGCTGGAGAAATACGTTATGCCATTCATGTTGAAAGAAATGGAAAAATGAAAATGATAAAAAAAGCAGCATGATATAAGTAATAATAATAAAAACAATATTAATTGTTTTATAATAATAATAATATTATAAATATTCTTGATCATATTAGACTGTATTATTATAACCCGATAATAATCGTACATTATTTGAATCAATAAATAATAAACGAACTAATTTTACTGAATGATGATACATTTGTGTGGTTTTTTTTTTGTACTGATACAAACTCGATAACACGATCATCTTCTGCCAAAAAATCGCGTTGTGATTTAACATGTATATAAATATGCAATGAAATTCTTATTTATTTAAATATAAATATACAATAAATTTATTGTACTATTCCCACTTACTCTGTTTTATTCAATCTCAAATAAAGTTAATTCAATCTCAAACATAAAATAAATGTATTTAGTAATACTGAAAAAGACTATAAAGTGTATATATATATTAACAAGACCCACACGTACACAAGATATCAAAATATATATAACTCACACAAATACTATACTTACTATTTAGATGCACGAAACGAACGCAAAAAGCAATTACACGCACGCACACACACACCCACACAAACACACATATAAACACACACAAACACATATAAACACACACACACATATATATATATATATATATATATATATATATATATATATATATATATATATATATATATATATGTATATATATATATATATATATATATACGATTGATAACCTGTATCTTAAACTTGCATATGCTTATGTGTTTTTTTATTTTTAAATGTTTTTTTGCACTTCAAAGAAACTTATAGGAAAAATTAAATCATTCAACTAATACGAAATCTTATCAATTAATTATGATAATTTTCTGTCGTAATTGACATGGAAGGGTTAAATATTTCACTCTTTTAATTTTTAAAATAAATAAATAAGCCAATTTTGAAATCTAAAATTATCTGAGTCACGAACAGAAGAAAAAATTTGATAAAAAACGAAACATAAATAATTTTTGATCTGAGGAAAATTATTTTGAGACTATTTATTTTCGAGTTTTCTTTCTTAAAGTCATAAATCATACGTCATTTACACACAAGCATCATCTCTTTCTTTCTCTCGTTCTGTTCCTCCCTCTCTCTCTCTCGCTTTCTCTCTCGCACTTTCTCTCCTTCTCTTTTTTTTCCTCTTTTACTCAATCCTCTTTCAAGCTCTTCTTTTTTTCTTTCTGTACACTCATTAATAGAAGTCACAAATAAGTCTGCTTACGTGTACAAAGGCGTACATTTTGAAGTGAACGTCGCCAAAGAAATACCGAAAATATCCGAAAACACTCCCGTACAAAACGTGCCAAGCAGTACATAATTGTTTATTGATGTCGTAAACAAGGAAGGAGCCTCAATTTCTCATTAGAACACGCACTACGTCTGTGAATCGCTTCAGAGTGAGTGGCTGGCTGGCTGGCTGCTTAGGTGGTTCACTGACTGGTTGACTGGCTGATTAGTTGTCTGGTTGACTGGTTGATTAGTTGTCTGGTTGATTGGTTTTCTGATTGTCTGGTTGATTAGATGTCTAATTGAGTGGCTGATTGATTGTCTGGTTAATTTCCAATGGCTATTTTTTTTGTATGAATAGTTACTGGTTTATTATCAGACACAGACGCGCGCGCACAGAAATCTGCACAAAAGCCGCAAACGTAATTCTCGAAGCCAACAGAAAAGACGACGCGTGGATATGGGAAGGTATAAACCACGTCATTGTAACCCATGCAATTATTAATAACATTTTTGCGGTTGTCATCATCACTCTCATCATCATAATCATCATCTTCTCTCTCTCTCTCTACATCACTTTTCCTCTGCCATCATGGCATCTTTCCCAGCAGCTATATCGTCATCATGTTTACAACAGGACTACTATCATGACATATCATCATGAATGACGTCACCATTACTATCATTCATTTATTTAATGGCACGACTTCACTGCTAATTTCATGTGGATGTATTTGTTAAAAATCCGAACTGTGGTAGACTCTGTTGTTGCTTTGTTTTGTTGTTTTGTTGTTTTAATTTTATTGTATTTGTGTTGTTGTTGTTGTTGTATTAATGATTATTGTTATTATATTAGTGTTGTCTAATTTTTCTGTCTTATTGCTCATTCAGTTTCAGAAATTAAACAATGAGTGGAAATAATTTGCATACCGTTGTGGAATTTGTTGTATGAAAGAGAGAAAAACTAGAAAGAGAGAGAGAGAGAGAGAGAGAGAAAGAGAGAAAGAAAAGGGCGTGTGAATGTTTGCCTATGTGTGTGTGTGTGTGTGTGTGTGTGTGTGAGTGTGTTTGTGTGTATGTTTTGTCATCGCGGTTGCATTGTACTGTTGTTGTTGTATTTTTGTTAATTTATCTATTGTTGTGGTATTATAGTTGTTTCATAATTATTATTTATGAATCTTTTTTCTATAGCATTCCTCGGTCGCTTCATATTTCCATTGTTGTTGTTGTTGATGTTGTTGTTGATGTTGTTGTTGTGGTTGATGTTGTTGTTGTAGTTGACGTTGTTGATGTTTGCTATCGTAGTTGATGTAACGAAAGATCATTATCGTTATTATTAATGTTATCATTGTTACATCACAATTTTGTCGCATGTTATTAAGTTATTAAAATTTTCGCAATCGTTGTATGTGGGCAGTAGATGCATTTTTACACAATAAATGAATTGAATGCATGCATTAATTGAATGACTTGCATGTTATTGTGATTTCATACAATGAGGAAAGTTTGATCTTATTGTCATGTATATATTTTAATGAGATTCGATTAACTTCCTCCCTCTCTCTCTCTCTCTCTCTCTCTCTTTCTCTCTTTCTCTCATTGTTTTCTTTTTTCTCTCTTTTTCTATATACACATATAATGGTGTTATATAAAAACACATTTGAATGAAAATTACAGCAAGTTACTTTGAACACGAAAGAAGGCATGTATACGCACATTGACATACATATACAAACACACACGCACACACACAATCACGTACACACACACGCACACACACGCACACACACACACGTACACACGCGCATACATGGTAAATGTATTTCCAGAAATTCAGAGCATGAAACAGCAATTAGGTATATAATTAGAGAATATTCCTCTGGTGGAGAGTGAATTTGAATGCACTGCAACAACAATGTGTGTTCATGTATTGTGGGGCTGAAAATAGTGTGAGAAATGGAAAATTGGTAAAAGAGAAAAAGATAGAAGGAAGGAGAGAGAGGGGGAGAAAGAGAGAGAGAGAGAGAGAGAGAAAGAGAGAAAGAGAGAGAGAGAGGAAAGAAAAAAAAAACAAAAAAATAAGAGAAATAGAGGGAATATGAGAATGGAAATAGATTGCACAAAAGTAAAAATTGATAAAGAAACAAAATAAAACTTACTCTGCAGTTCGTAAAAAAATGAATATAAAAGAAACCTTTAAAAGAATAATAATTGGAGGGAAGCACAAGAAAAAATTGACCTTTGTAAAAAAATAATTGTCTTTTCTCAGAGTTGAGAAGCAAGCACCTGATTCCTTTCCTATTTGTAGCTGGTACGTGCAAATTCTTCTTACCATTCATACAAATACAATTAATAATTGATACCATTTATACGCACACAAATACCGTTTCTTCATACAAGACAAACGAAATGCATGTGCGTGTGTATATGCGTATTTACTTATGTGTGCATGTGTGTGTGTGTGTGTGTGTGAGAGAGAGAGAGAAAAAGAGTGAGAGATAGAGTTAGAAAGAGTGAGTATGTGTGAGTGTATGTATGCATGTATGTGTGTGTGTGTGTTGTGTGTGTGTATGTGTGTGTGTATGTGTGTCTGCGTATGAGTGTACGTTAGATTTATTAAAACAACGATCATCCTTTGAAATGGAATTAATTTAAAATGCTACACGCCCCATATTTAACGTTATTGCGCACTGTATTAATTCCATTGGTTAATGATAACATTTTTTTATTCCTATCATAATTGTTTTATTATAGTTATAATAATTATCATCTCTGGTGATATTTCTTCTTCTTCCTCTTCTTCTACTTTTCCCTCTTTTTCTTCCTTTTCCTCTTCTTCTTCTTCCTCTTCTTCTTCCTTTTCTTTTCTTCTTCTTTATTATTATTCTTATTATTATTAATTCGTGACGTAGCAAAAATTTCTTCTCATTAAATTCCGTACCGAACAAACTCCGCGCTTATAAAAAAAATTTAATTACTTCGAAATTACCCTTGAAATACTCACTCACGCAATAATAAGAATAATAATAATACTAATAATACTAATAAAGATAATAATAATAATAGTAATAATGATAAAGATAATGATAATAATAATGATAAAAGCTAAATAATTTAAAGGGAAAAAGATTAGAAGTTTTGGTTTTATAGGAAATAAATAAATACTGGTTTTCTTTACACAGTAATGTTAAATATTTAAGTAAGGTTAATTTCAACTGTACCTAGCAATATTTTACATTAGGTAACAATGCTTGACGGTACATAAGAATGTTTGGAGATAAATCTGGAATCAGAGAACGGGGAAGAATTTTAGCAAATAATCAATAAATAAGCGCAAGTTTTTTTTGGCAATATTTAACAACACGTGAAGGATTTTAACAGTTACTACTTTAACAATTACTTAATGGTACTTGATAATACTTAACATTCTTTACTTAGACTACGAGTGCAAATTTTAAAAATATAATTTTAAAATTTTCATTTCGGAATGAAATTAAATTACAAAAAAAAAATTTACTAACCGGACAATGTTGACCAATTTTTTTCTTTCCGCGGTGCGCTTTCGGTCCCTCTTGTTGCTCGTCCACTCCCCCATGACGACCGACGTTTCGCCTCCGTCTTGACCGTGCCAAACTTTGTGTAGGGGGTGGTAGAATGTTTCGACGCTCACTATTCGTCTGTCTGTAGGGGTGTGTGTGTGGTTTGGTGTGTTTATGTGGTATGTTGTGAAATGTTTGTGTTGTGGAATGTTTGTGTGGTGTGTTGGAGTGTGTTTGTGCAGTGTTTTGTGTGGTGTAAGGATTGTTTGTATTGTAATGATTGTTTGTGGTGTGATGTGTGTGTAGATATTTTGGGTGTGTAGAGTGTTTTTTGAGGTTGTTGGTCTGAATTAAAAATTGTTTGTTGATATGTTTGTTGGCATGAGGAAAAAAGGATTGGTGATTATTTTGCGATAGTTTGTTTGTTTGTATGTTTGTTTGTATCTTTATATACATATTTTTATGTATGTATGCTTTGTTTGTTTGAATATTTGTTTGTATGTATGTTTGTATATTTGTTTGTATGTTTGTATGGAGAATGCGTAATGTTCCTTTGTTTGCTTTGGTAGATTAGTTCTTTTTTTGTGTTTGTCGGGTTGATGAGAAAATGATAAATATAAATCACTTGAAAAAGTGTGGTAGCGACAAATTAATGAAAAAGTGACATTCAAGACGGTGACGATGATGATAACGACGATGATGAAGAAACGTTGATGATGGTGAAATGTTGATGATGATGATACGTTGATGATGATGATGACAATGATGATGATGATGATGATGACGATGATGATGATGACAGTGATTATTTATTAAGTACTGACCGTAAAAAAATTATAAAATGAAGATGGTGAAGACAAAAACAACAACTACATCAACTACAATAATTATGATGACGATGATGACGGTGACAGATATAAGACTGATGGTGATGATGATGAAACCGATGATGATTATAATGATAAAGCAGATGATGATGATGATGGTTTGGATGATGATGATGATGATGATGACGACGAGAAATGTGTTGATTTATAGTCGCATGCACTTTGCAACATCAAAAATAGTTTATTTGCAGATTCGTTGATTTATTTCCAAAAATGCACGTACACACACACACACACACACACACACACATACAAAATATTCATTCGCATCCTATTTATAATCACAAAAACACATTTATTTTATTGATTTACATTTCATTATTATCAATTTGCGCCACCATAAGTCATGAAAAATTGATCTAAAAATAGTTTTGTGTTTGTAATGGATGAAAAATATGTGTTCATAAAATCACTTAGACATTTATTTCTTTGGAAACGGATCTATAATACAATAATAATTTTTCATCATCATTATAAATAATTCAGTGAAAATTATTTTAAAATGAAAAATAAATAAAAATTTGCGCCCGAAATTCAAACATTCAAATGGACCAACCAACAGATCTGAGCCACACCTTCGCCCTCTCCCACGTCACCCCGAAGTTTTCATATTCCGGAGCGCCACTGCACATCGCTACCTGTGACGTCATAGATGGCGGTTGTGATGATGATGATGATGATGGTGATAGTGGGGTGGCAGATGCAATTATGATAATGATCGTTAACCAATTATAACATTCTAAAAAATAACAACCACTTATTTCATTACCAAGACACACAGCCAATAAAAACTCATCTCTCAACCAGCCATCAAAGATCAGGAATCTGACCTTGACGGGGGGCGGGACAAAGGTTTTGTAGGTCAGGGAGGTCGGGGGGCTGTAGAGGGAGTGAAGGAGTTCCGCTAGGTCTTCCGAGGGTCTGACGTAGGTGATGCGTATGAAGCGAACGGTGTAGGAACATTCGGATTTTTCAATGAAGTTGACGCCAGTGTGGACGTTACCTTTGTGGTGGTGGGGGTGACAGTGGCGGTGGTGATGGTGGCGGTGATGGTGGTGGTGATGGGGTGAGGATGATGATAAAGATGATTAAAAAAAATCAGTGGTAATAATTATGATTTCCGGTTAAGATGACAACAACGTCATTGATGAGTAGAGGTTTTATAATATTAATATGATGATAACGATAATAAAGAAGATGATGACGATGACGACGATGACGATGTTGATGATGAAAATAGATGATGATAAAAAGCCGATAATGATTAGATGAGTGACATAGTGCCATGCGCGTCGCCAGAGACATAAATTTCCAGAAATATATTTGGCCAGGCTAATTGATTTTCATAACCTTCTAGCCGTAATATAATCCGTGTGCGTGTATGTGTGTCCGTGTAGGAGTATGTACGTGTGTGTGTGTGTGCGTATGAATGTGCGTGTATGTATGCATATGTTTGCGCGCGTGCGCGCGTGTGTGTGTGCGTGTGTGTGTTCCTGCGTGTATGTGTGTGCGTGTACTTGACATAAATACTATCGTTTCTGCAAACGGCAGTAGTAGTAATAGCCATTATTATTATTATTATTATTATTATTATTATTATTATTATTATTATTACTATTGTTTGCCTACGTAGTAAGTTCCCGTATTGAAAACGCAACGAAAACAGCTCCGGAAGCAATCATTCGTCATCGCGTTACCCGATGATAATAATAAGAATAATAAGAATAATAATAATAATAATAAGAAGAAGAAAAAGAATAAAAATAATAATACTAACAATAATAATAATAACAATAATAATAATAAAAAGAAGAAGAAAAAGAAGAAGAAGAATAATAATAATTTTAATAATAATAATAACAAGAAGAAGAATAACAATAGTAATATTGATAATAATAATGTTAGCACTGCTTTGTATTTAGTTAGAAGAACTATCAATATAATATAATAAAATGAATTGAAATTAAATGGAGTTAAATTTAATAATTAATAAAATTATTAATTTTAAAATTAATAATAAAATTAATAAAACTGGTAATCTGTTTTTGCCGGTCATTCGATACGAATAAATACCGGTCGGTAGAAGAACGAACGCACGCACGCACGTACACGCACACGCACACACTCGTACAAGCACACACACACACGCACACAAACCAATACCAACCATTACCTATAAGATGATGATTATAATGACGTAAAAATAGTTAAAAAGCATCAAGGATAAGATGATGTCGATAATAATGCTAGAAACTTCTCGGTGACGTCATTCCACTGGTAATGACGTAACAATGATAAATCAACCAATGGCAAAATGGCGACTGAAAAATGACGCATGATTGACGGAGAAGATAAATTATAATTGTGAAAAAGGGGGGCATTTCATTTATCTAATGATAGGATCCTAAAAATTATGGGAAAATGTAATAATAATAATAATATAAATAATAATAATAATAAGAAGAAGAAGAAGAAAAAAAAGAAGGAGTAAATCGGACAATCAAAAATTACAATCAGATAGCGTTGACTTGGAGGTAACGTTACAACAATAGCGAAGTAACCATGACGTCATTAATCATTATGACGTCACGGGAAACGTTGGCGTATAGTTAATGTTGTAATTATGATATATATATATATATATATATATATATATATATATATATATATAACGTGTTAATTGTAAATAAGCAAGATAAATTACGACAAGTGTGACCAAATTTCAGTGTAGATCTTATAATTGCGTCATATACACGTAATAATAAAAATAATAATGATGACGTAATAACCAGAATGACGTAATTATTAGGATCACGTGATAGCGCAGGTTCAACTCCAGAGAAAGAGGCATCATGAAAATTTAATGCCACATGAATCTCCATCTTCTCTGACATCATCTGCCATAAATTTTTTTTCATTTTTTTTATTCTTTTCTCTCTTTCACTCTATCTCTTTTCTTTCTCTTGTTTTTTTTTCTTCTACTTTCTCTCTTTTTTTCTCTCTCTATCTCTATATCTTATTAGTTTTTTTTGCTCTTTTTTCGTCACAAAGTTTTTGACATATTTTATTGTCATTATTTCAAGTAATTTCAAGAGTTTTACATATAAATCTTTTTTTGTGCATGACAGAAAATGAAATGAAAGAATTGTCAGTAAAACACACACACACACACCAGTCTACGTGTTAACACGCGCGTAAAACTTAGCATCAGGCACATGTGTGTGTGTGTGTGTGTATTTACGTATTGTGTATTTATATGCAAATGTACTCTGGCATACGTGCATGTCTAGGTACAGTTGTGTGGAGTTGATGGATAGTCGGAAAAGGTGTCGGGATAACTTTGGAATGCTAATGGATAGAGCGAGACATGTTGATTATGTGGTTGCTGTTGTTGTTGTTTCTGCTGCTGCTACTGTTGCTGTTGTTGTTTGTTAGTGTGTTGTTGCTGTTGTCTGTGATGTTGATTTTGTTGGTTAGGTTGTTGCTTCTTTGATATTGCTGGCACAAACATTGACGATATTACTACTACTACTGCTGCTGCTACTACTACTACTCCTAATGCTATTACTACTACTACTACTGCTGCTTCTACTATTTTTACTACAACTACTGCGGCTACTACTACTACTACTACTTTATCTACTACTGCTACTACTACAATTAATAAAAAATAAGAATAAAATAAGAACAACAACGTCATTAACATGAATGATTATGGAAAATAATGACGACATGCTGTTGGAATACAAAATGGAAAAAAAACCAGAGAGAGAGAGAGAGAAAAAGAGAGAGAGAGAGAAAGAAAGGGAGAGAAAGAGAGAGTTACAAATGGCCAGCTAGGGTACGTAGATTAAAATTTCAAAAACATCTTTATTTTTCAAATTAAAATATTTTTTGCATTTAAACAAAACGAAACACGTTGTTTCCAATAACATAACAACAGCAAAACATCATAACGTTGTTAGTAACATTAACATTTGCCAATTAGCATCAACAACAACTGCAACTAAACTAACAAAATATTCTTACTGACACCAACAATATCAACACATTGAGAAAAATCAGCAACTGAACGAAAAAAACGCCAACAACAACAACAATTACAACAATAACAACAAAACAATAATAACAAAACAAAACAACAACAACAACATCCCATTAAAACAAAAACAAAAACAACCAGCAATATAACATAATTTTCGGAAGTAGAATTTTTTTCTCTCAAGAGCTTTAGAAATTTCAGCCAATTACAATTAAACAATCCCAACAACAACAATTCTAACAACACCAACAACAACAACAACAAATCTAAGAACAACAATAACAGCAACTCTACCAACAACAAAAACAACACAAACAACAACTCTAACAATACCAACTACAGCAACAACAACAAACCTAACAACAACAAATATCAACAACAGATAAAATTGTTAACAATTGCTTAAACTGTCTTTCACCGCTACTGGCTTCGATCGCAGAGAAGACACTGCCTACAACATGACAACACAACATGCAGTGTACAATTGGCACAGTGTACACTATGTCTTTGTCGTTGGTACCTCAAGAAAGTAAATTTAAAAATTGTGAAAAACAGCAACAGCGAAACAAACCAACAACAGCAACAACATTATAACCCATTACGTCAACGTCACGATGACGTCAGATTGCAGTGGCAGTTGCTGCTTATTTAGCTGAGTTAATGCAGCAGCTATGGGTATTACATTATACATAGTAATTATAATTATATTATGATTCATAATAATATAAATAATATTTTAAATAATATTAATTAATATTTAAACAAATAATTATTAATAAATGTATAAAAATTCTTAAAAAAAGGAAACGATTGCATACATAAAACATACAAGCTGTTATAAATAAACATGTTTGTGTATATATATAGGCATGTATATGTTGTATCTGTATTTATATGTGTATTCATATATGTATGTGTGTGTGTATGTTTGTTTGTCTGTCCGTACGTACGTGTGTATGTATGTTTGACGATACACCGTAAATAATAATAGTTTTTGTAGTATTTCATTTATTTTTCAGGCAAACCAATTGCACGCTTGGTCTGGTTTGTGCACAAATTTATGCACATCTATATGCGTGTGCGTGTGCGTGTGAGTTTGTCTGTTTGTACGTGTACGTTATCATTCACTCATACTTCCTTTTATTCTTTCATTTCCTTCTTTCATCCCCTTCATTCATTTCCTTCCTTCATTCACTCTTAATTTAGCACGACAGTTGTAAATGTAATGGAATGAATGGAAGACGCTGATGCTGATGATGATGATAAAAACGGTGAGGAAGAGGCGATGATGAAGACGAAATGATGATGAAAAACGTAATCTTGTCACACACACGCTCACACGCACACACACGCAGATATATTAAAAAAAAATAATATTAAAAAAAAGAATATTAAAAAAAAATTCAACCCATAAACCCACAAACGCCGAATATATACATATATATATATATATATATATATATATATATATATATATATATATATATATATATATATATATATATATATATATATATATAT